CAGGCTGCAGTGGCGCGGCAGTAACGACAGTACCTGTTGTACCAAAGCCACAGTTTACTCAAAGTTTTGTGAATCGTTCTTCACCTCCTCCCAATACTTTCAATTCGTATTCACAAGTTTCCAAGTCCGACTCGGTTTGTGAATTTTTAATGATATTATTTTCCTTAGAAGAATCCCTTCTCATCCTAACGCCTTTTCGCGATTTGCTTGTGCCATTTTCTGGATTTTAAATTCGGTATTTTCGATTTGCAGTTTATGGGTGAAAATGCTGTTTGGCAGGATCCAGAAGGTGAAGTGCGTAAGTGGCAACGAGACACTGGCACTGCTGCATGGGGTGATCCTGAGAAGCAACAGAGTTTGTTTCTTCTTTACTTATTCAAATATATAGATTGTATCCCATTGAATTCAGTGATTAAAATGGGTGTTTGGTGTGAACTTTGTTTCAAAATTTGTTTCAGAAGAAATCAAACGATGGATTATACCGGTCGGGAAAGAATATGACAACTCGGATAGCGAAGGCGGTAAGTCTTGCTTTCATAACTCTATTATATCGTGACACAGTTTAGGACATTCCTTTCAAACTGATGCTTATTCCGTTCACACATCGAAAAGTTTTATTTTATCTCAGGTGGTCGTGTAATTATTCCCCTTGGTTGGGGTGACCTTCCTTCAAAGTCATCAAGTAATAACGCTGCACCAACTTCAACAAATTCGCTTCCACCGTGGCCATCTAGAAGCGCGCAAGCAACTGCCACGGTTTCATCATCAGGTTTGTAATATGTCGTGAACCTTCCTGGATGCACTGGAAAATGTATTGTGTCAATTAACATCCCAAAATCCTGATGGCTGAAGATCACTTTACTCATTTGATATTTCTAATTGTATTTGAACCTGAATGAATGGTTTTGAATTTCCTTTTCCTAGAAGTACTTATTTGGAATTATTCGTTTAGGATGGAGTAATCGTTCGGCTTTAGCAACAGCGAAATCAACAACCATTCCAACTCTTTGGGAGATTCTTTCTGAGCATCAGCCTGCATCACTGGAGAGTGGTTGGATACCGCCGGATGGTGTAAGTAATGCAACTATGCCTGCTTCAACGCAACAAATTGTTGAACAGCTACGCCAGGCTGTTGCGAAAGGTACTTATATGCTGGTTTACTACGGATTAAAGTATCGAAAATGATGGCAATGAAATCATGATTTTGTATTGTTAAAATGAAGCAATTTCAGGGTTAATTGATGTTTCACTTCTCAGTAAGCCACTTCCGAATGAGGCACTCTCAGAGATGCGCACGCTTCTCAGTCGCATCCCGGTGCTGGAGCAAGCAGAAAATGATTTAGCTCGTCTTATGAACGCTGTCAAAATTGTAAGTTTGTTTTTTGAATAGATAAGTGAGGTTTTTATTAATTTGACAGAATTAGAGTGCGGTCATGGCTTTGCTTTTTATTTTGAATTTTGAGAATAACGACCCTGAAGGTGGAAGTGGAAGAATGGATACGCCGACGGATCTCATGACATCAGAGCAACGATCAGAATACAGCCGACTAGTTATCGAAATTGCTGCAACAAAAACGGAAATTTCGACAATTCGTGAACGTATACGTGGAAACTCCGATGCTGTTAGTGTTAGGGTAGGTCTTTTACCAAAGTATTCACATGTAACTTCTGGGAAATGTGTTAAAATAGAATCATTGCTAATTTTTACTTGAATTTTACAAACAACTCGCGTGTGTAATGTAGTATGTGTCATGCATGGAAGCATAGAAAGGTGAAGGTAAGGTCATGTGGATTCTATGGACTTTGGTACGAGCAGTCCAAACTGCTTATGCTATATTAAAATGCAATAAGATGGGGGAGTAAACAGAGAACCGAAATAGTAATATTTGAATTTGAAGTATGTAAATTGTTGGAGGGGCATTGTTTCTAAACGGTTTGCATTAAGATCAGCTGTCATAAGAAAATAAAAGACTGAAGAGATTTTTGCAGCCAGCAACAAGTTTAGCTGAAACTCAGCGAATGCATCCACTGCAACCGCAACCAGCCGTAACAACAACAACTTCTTCTCGTTTCGGCGATAGTATTCTGGATGTTGCTGTGCGTGTTGAACAACAGAAACTATTTTCAATGTAGTAGTAGATGTCAAGTACTGACTAGTCAGCAAAGCACGCATGCATCGCTATATCTGCCTTTTTTATCATTTATCTTGTCATTTTTCACGTTTTATTGTCATGAAATTTTCAACGGAGTTTAACCTCACGGTGCGTGTGCAGCTCAGTTCATGCGTAATAGAACTTATATCTTCATTATCTTCATGTTAATCTTAAGTTATCATATATATAATGCTATCTCGGATTCAGCGATTTCTCATTTTTTGAATTGGATGAATGCGCGCAGATTCTTTTTTGCTATCTATATTTTCTTTAAAAAATTGCACCTAACACCTCCATCACTTCGTGCATTATGATAATAACCTTACATCCATTCCTATATGCTACACTAAGTGAATTTTTAAAAATTGTTTGCCGAGGTGAAAGATGGCTCGTTTTTAGCATAGAAAATGTTCATGTTACTGGTTTTAGTGCTGATACTGATGGTGGTAATGGTGTAATCGCAAAAGTGTACGCAGCAAATAAGTCTCATTTGCCAGGAAAAAGATATATGGAGTAGTTCTATTTTTAATGGATTCATATTTCAGTAATATGACAAGTAATCTAAATATTCTTTGTGTCTTTCCCTTCAGTTCTCATGGGTTTTTTATGTCGATGTCTTGATTGATTCTTGTATTACATCAAATCGTCTATTTCTTACGTGTTTTTTTCTCGTTTAATTTGACTGTTTAATTAGGGTAAGCGCATTAGTTGTGTCGTGATAATTTCTTCCTTCTCCACTTTTATATCTTTGAATGTCATGTAAGTTGTAGTTCAGTTGATCAGTTGTTGATATTTTTAAATTCTTACATATTTTTTTTTAAATTCTAAGCTCATTAATGCACTATGCGTAGCTGCTGTGAAATTGTTTGTTGAGAGTTTTTGGAGGAATTTTATATATTGATCACGCATTGTTCGAATCTTATGTTCTGCTATTTTCCTACTTCCCTTTCCCTTCACTCTTTGATTTCAAATTTCCAGAAGCTCCGCATCCGTTTCCATTCATTCTGCTCAGCTGAAGCTTACTCGTAATGCGAGGATATGCTTCTATGCATTGTCGAGTTATGTATATGTATATATGTTAGGGAGGCAAGTTCGGTTCGGTTACGTACACTTTTCAAATTTTTGTAGGTACATTTGCTTATTCATAGGTAGAAATATAATTTTGCGTTTACCATTGTTCTCTGGATACCATCTGGCGATTGCTTTGTGATTGTGGCTTGCACATATTGAATTAATGTTGGGAACAAAAGGTTTAATTTAGAAAAGTAAGTTTGAGTGGATAAATATACTAACTTTGCTGACTGAACCGAATCTTTTGGTGTCATCTGCTTCGTATACGTTATAAAAATTCTCCATCAGTATTTGTTGGATTAGACTATTTACTGCAACATTTGCTCATGGCATAAGCTTGTGCATACGTTCGGTACATGTAGTATCCATTGTGGTACAATAGCCTCCACTTGCTGCATTCGTTATAGGGTCTTTAGTGTTTTGGTGTTATATAATTATATTTACCCATGAATAGCTTTTGTCAAAAATCTCGAGGTAGCTTTCGTAATTATTGTATGTTTGCTGTATAAGTAACCAAACAGTTCTCTCCTATTTACACTCTACTGTCTTTTCATAAAGTTTTTCATGTGTTTTCCCTTTTTTTTTATTTGAAATCTAAACTTACTGGGGATGTTAATTTCATGCTTCCATACCAAATGCTTACTATCAACATTTATTCCATGCTCGCATATACAGTAGCTTTCATGGATCAATCGGTGTATTAATTTAATCATTTCAAGTTTTAACTGTAAGGACCTAATTGCAAGAGCCATGAATTTCCTGAAATTCTACAATTTCTTTTCTCAAGATTCTTAAGAAAAGATGATTGTGAGCAGCTAGGATAAGTGCTGATACTGTTACTGAACACTGAAAGCTACTGTTCTGTGGCTGCCTCGCATTTCCATGTTTTTTTTTTTTTCAAAGAGGAAAATATCGGTTCTCGTCACTTCGGGTATTCTTAGTCGTTTGCGCCGTTTTTGTTCTCAGCGTACAATTTAATTCTTTCTTTTCTATTTTTTTGGTTATATTGTTTATTATTGTATGTGTGTATTTTTTTACGAGCCATTAACCTTTAATTGATCAATTTAAGCATTAATTGCTATTATCCTTTTTTCCTGATATGGTTACCATTTGTCGTCTTCAGTTATGGTTAGCAAAAACAACTCCATCAGCAAGTGCTCATCGTTGCTTCGCCATTATTAACATTATGATTATCATTACTATTACCATTAATTAATTGCCCGAATGTCTTTTCTTCTAACTTCATTCTCTTCCATGTGCTATCCTTACTTTTTTCAATCTTTTCATTGCAGGTTGTTTGTCATCTTTTTCTCTTCCGTTTACAAAAGAAAAAAGTTGCAAATGATCTCGCTTCTGTATTTCCTTGGGGTTTCGTTCATGTTAAACTTTGCAGGTAGGTGCAATACGCTGCAGCTCTTGGGTAGTGTTTGTGTCCGTTCATTGGTTGTTTCATTGAGTCCAGTTTTGTTTTAGATTTAGGCCCGGGCCTTAATGAGATCGCATCACTTTCCGTTTTTAATTTTAGCGGATTTGGGAAAAACAAAATGAGGAGTTATGTGATTTTAGCAACCGTTTGCGCAAAACTTTTGTGCCACATATACTTTTTTTTCGAAGCTTTTTTTTCGGAATCATTCTTCTAAGCCTTTTCGGACCTACTTCCCATTTCAGTAGTCCGTTTCTTCTGCTCTTCATTTTTTCTCAGGTCACTTTTTCACGAACTTAAAAAAAAACTACAATTTGCTGATGCGGATGCCGCTGTTATTATTTTCCCCATAATTATATATTTAATATGCATAAGGTGAATGGTTTCATTCTAGTTTCTGTTATCCCCTCTTGCTCTCGAGCTTCTCCATCTGTATAATACTTTATCGTTTTGGTCATGCCACCATCAGCAGTTGTATCTTTAATATTAGCTAAAACAGCTGTTTTGAATTCTAGAGAAAAAGTATGCGAATTTTAGCAAAATTTGGAGGGTCGTTTTTCATCACTCGTTTGCTCTCTCATTGTTGAAACCAAATACTGTACGAGTATATAATTATATATGAATGTGTGTGGTCTTCCGAGATTCTCTTGAAAATGATGCTCTCTTGCTTGCTGTGATGTGTTGCCCTCCTCAATTGTTTTTGAGTCTTTAAAATAAAGGGAGATTTTTCTTATTATTGTTTGCAACACTTTTTGTCCAAAGTTTAGTTGGTTGTTTCGTTGTTCTTTGTCCTAAATACTTTGTGAAAAAGGCAATCACCATACTTGATCTAATCGACTTACTCTTGGGCCATACTAGGGGCTCTGAAGTCAAATTTTCAAAATTGTCCATTGAGAGTCTACAAGTTATGGTGAACGCTGTCAGATTGGACCTTGCGTTGAGTCAGAAAAAAGTCGGTAAATTGTATAGGTACTGACATTAAAGCCACTATTTAACTAAATGTCCCGAAAAAGTTAGCAGGGAAGTTGGGGTTATATCTCTGTGTCACTAGTTATACTGATTTTCTGAAGGGACTGTGGTTTCTTTTTCTTTTACTTTCTTTTACTGATAGAAGA